AGCATGGAGCTCAGGTGCAGGGTGTGTTCCCACCCACTACAGCATGGAGCTCAGGTGCAGGGTGTGCCCCCACCCACTACAGCATGGAGCTCAGGGTGCACTGTGTTCCCACCCACTGCAGCATGGAGCTCAGGTGCAGGTGTGTGCCCCCACCCACTACAGCATGGAGCTAGGGTACAGGGTGTGTTCCCACCCACTACAGCATGGAGCTCAGGGTGCAGGGTGTGCCCCCACCCACTACAATATAGGGTGCAGGATGACCACACTGGAAGCCAAAAGACGGCTTGAGAGCTGTGGACACATGAGCATCTCCATGTGAAAAGCCACAGAAACAGCATGGGAAGGGTGAACACCAGGATCTGAGTGGCTGCTGTCAATCACATGAAGTAGAAAGGAAGGGGGGAAGACCCCCAAGAGCCTCACGGAGATACAGGCTTACAGGGCTGGGCTGCCCACCCAAGGAAAGAGATGAAAAGACAGCTGCAAACACTGTCTAGTTGACAGATCTCCCCAAGCCATGTCCCGCCCCAGCTCTAGTTTAATACGGAGTGTGTCCTTTTCCAGAATGAGTACTTAGCAAAGCTTTTGGCAAGTGTTTCAAAATCTCTCAGAATTATCCGGTGGAGAGGCCGGCTCTTGGCATTTTACAATGCCACTCTTGGAGATGCTCTTTTCTTGTCCTTTTCACGGCACTTCAGGACCTCTGGGTGGAACTCACTCTGAACAGTGTGAAAATATCAAAATAAAGCGCCAAAGAAAAGACAAGAGCCGCAGCGAGGCGCCACCTCCAACTCCTCCCAGCCATTCCAGGCCTACAGCACCCCCAGAAAAGACAGACTGAAAGAGAGACTGGGATCTAGAACATTCACAAATCAGAGATAAATTGCCCATTAATTATCCTCCTTAGAGGGAATGGTTAATATCAGTTTCAAAGTCATAAGAATGCCCTTGTTTGGGTCAGTGTAGTTGGTAAGTTTATTAGTTACTATAGGGTAAGAGGGCCAACCAAAGAAACCCACCCTGGCCCAGGAACCACAGCCAGTAAAAGAAACCCACCCTAGCCCTGAACCCAGAGCCAATGAAAGAATCACTTTGGCCCGGAAATCAGAACCAAAGGAACACACTTTGGCCCTGAAACCAAAGCCAAATCTGCCCCTGACCAACTGAACATGAAATCAACCAATCCCTGAACAAGAAAACTAACCAATCCCTGATCATGAAATTTAGCTAATCTGAGCTTGTCCAAGCTCAAGGGGATAAAATCTGACCAATTCCCTCGCTGAAAAATCTTCTCCCTATAAATGCCCTGTGCCTGCTCAGTTGTGGGCTGTCCTTTTCCACCCTGACAGAGGCAGCCACTCTCCTGGACTCCTCCTTCCCAAATACATCTCTTGAAAGAGTTTTGGGTGAAGATTTTCCACTGGCACAGGGAAGAATCTCTGCTGGGAAGCTCCCTCAGGGAAGCAGAGCGGAAGAGGCAGAGGACACCTCCGCTGGGAAACTCCCTTGAGACTGGAGCAGAAGTAACAACTTTTCTCACGAGCGGGGAGCAGATTGCTACATTCCTGCAGCGGTTTCCTCTTAGCAGAGTGAAGCAGAAGTAACATCTTGGACCAGAGCTGAGAAAGAAACAGATACCTCTGCTGGGAAACTCCCTTGGCGAGCAGAGGAGAGCTCAGCTGTAAAGGCTCTCTCTTAGAGAGGAGCAGGATTGCCGCATCCTGCAGGGAGACCATCCCCCCCTGCACCCCAGCTTCAGGTACAGCCTGACTTCCGGACAAGTCTGGACACTTTTCTCCTCACAGCTGTAGGTATCCAGGATTCCTCCCTTCACAGCTGTAGGTATAATCTGACAAGTCAGGATACTTTTCGCTCCGGAGCTGATGTGACAATACCTGTCAGAAAGCAACTGAAGAGAGGATGTACAATGGCTCGCAGTTTGAGGGGACACAGTCCATCATGGCAGGGAAGGCACAGCATGGGCGGCTCCATAGTAAGGGGAGCACATGGCAGCCGAGGGCTCACATCCCAGCAGGGAACGAAGCAGAGCCAGCCAGAAGCAGCGTAGCCTACGACTCAAGACACAGCCCAGAGTGACCCACTTCCTCCAGCTTGGGCCCCTCCTCCTCAAGGTTCCACAGCCTCCCCAGCAGCAGCACCAGCTGCATGCCAAGTAGTCTAACACAGGAATCTGTTGGGGACATTCACGTCAAACTGTAAGAGTCGTTGGCGCCCACGCCATCCACACCATGTACCACTCACAGGTTAGGGGCTTTGGGTGTGACAGCTTGCATTTCTTCAGAACTTTGATCGACTCTTGTGCATGATGTTCTCAGTCATTACAATTTCAAAATCGTTTAGTCGCTGCTTCAAATACTTTTCCATTTTGTCTTTACATTTTTTTCTTGATCGAGCTTAGCGGGGTCCATGTCATGTCATGTAAGACAGTAACCTTACTTTATGTTTTGTTATTAAATTCAAAATAATGATGAAGTAGTTTGATGGATTTCAGGCTCCAGAATACACATAATTTCTTGCAGGATATAAAGATGTACAATATTTAATTCATAGTTTTTCTTTTTTTTAAATAGATTTTTTTTTTTTTTGTCGACAATTGCATTCATGTAAACAATGTATCTGGATTACAGCTGCGCTCAGCTCCCTGCTTCCACTCCCCTCCAGCTGGCCTTGAAACACCTTCTTACCCCCTTCATGACCTTCCCCTGCCCCCCTTTAGCCACTGAATCCCGTTGGTGCTGCCTGCTGGGGTGCTGACTGATTCCTTTGGTTTGATCTTTTGCTCCACAGCTGCGGTGAATTTGTGAGCGTGGTGGCCACGTCCAGAATACAGCGTCGCAGAACACTGTGCCCTCTCTCACTCTTAGATCCTCTCCACGACCCTTTCTGCAGTGTTCCCTCTTTGGGGGGATGATGTAGATACAGATGTCCCATGCAGGATGAGCACTCAGTTCTCACTTATTCTCTGCCCACTGAACAGCTATGAGTCCCTGCATTAACTGCTGCCCACTGGAGAGACAAGTTTCTCTGGCCAAAGCTGAGGGCAGTGCATTAGTACTATTGCATGAACATAAATATGTAGAAGGCAGCTTGACAACATTTCCCTTTAGTAAGATAACAGTAGTGGATTCCCTCTAGGGCCTATGACCTCTTACGTCCTGGGCTTTTGACCAGGTTTGCAGTACTAGACATGAATTTCCTCCTGTGGAACAGTCCTCAAATCCAAAAGCAGTTGGTTATCACAATAACGTTCACGCCCCTATTGCACCAGAGAGCACAACTTTCCCGGCAGGTCAATATTACAGCTGCAAGACTCATTGCTGAGTTTCTCCCAGTCGCTTCCATTGTTGGCCCTTCCAGTGATACAAAAGCTAGACAACGAAGTTTTCAGCTCAGTTCCAGCTTGACTTCATATGTTATCTTGGAAGAAAGAATCTCAGTTGAGAAAATGCCTTCCCTCAGACTGGCCAGCAGACAAGTCTGTGGGATATTTTCTTGGTTAATGGTTGATTTTGGGCATCCCAGCCTATTGTGGGTGGGGCCAACCCCGGGCAAGGTCGTTTTGGGGTCTATAGGAAAGGAGGTTGAGCAAGCCTTGGGGAGCAAGCCAGTTAGTGACATTTCTCCATGGCCTCTGCCTCAGTCCATGCCTCCAGGTTGTTTCTGCCTTCGGTTCCTGTGCTGACTCCTCTCAGTAATGGAACTGTAAGATAAAATAAAGCCATTTCTCTCCACGTCCGCTTTCGGTCATGGTGTTTATCACAGCGATAGCAGCAGAGGTGGCATTGAGTGTGAGGTGTCTGGGGTGGCACCTCTGCCAAGGGAGGCAGGGTTGGCTGCAGCGTCTACCGAGACCACACCAGATGTGGACCAGGTGTGACTCCATCTCCCTTTGCACTTTCTAACTTCCACCTGTAGGAAAAACACTGATGATTCTCAGCTCCTAGGCACGTACTTATCTGTAGTCCAGGGGTTGAGCTCAGCAGCTCATACGTAGGGTCTAAAACGTGTGACATAACACTTGCAGGTTCTCAGAACAGCATAGCGTCACTTGTAACAGATCATGGAAGTATTTAGAGTCATTTCAACGCTGTATAGCAAAAACAATTTGCTACTAAAATAGAACAAAAGCTAATTTAAAAATACTATAACTGGGCCTGGGGAGATGGCTCAGTGATTCAAATTCTTGTTCTGTATGTGTGGAAACTAGAGTTTGGACCCCCAGAACCCATTAATAAAGCTGGGCAGTAGTCCACCTGCAATCCCAGCACACATCTGCAACCCCAGTTCACACCTGCAATCCCAGCACACCTGCAACCCCAGGTCACACCTACAATCCCAGCACACATCCGCAATCCCAGTTCACACATGCAATTTCAGCACACCTGCAATCCCAGCTCACAACTGCAATCCCAGCTCACACCTGCAATCCCAGCACATATATGTAATCCCAGCTCATACCTGCAATTTCAGCACAACTGCAATCCCAGCTCGTACCTGTAATCCCAGTTTACACCTGCAATCCCAGCTCACACCTGCAATCCCAGCACACAGAAGGCAGAGACAAGGGATCCCTAGAGCCTCAGAAAGTGAAAAAAAAATACTATCATTATAATGCAGTAATGTTTAGAGTAACCAAATAAGACTGAACGAACAAAAATATATCTTGCAATTCACAATCCATTTTACTCTTTCAAATTTATAAACCACAAATAAACACTCCATGAAGTCACAGAGAATGGCAGAATTGATGTACCCTAAGTTCCACTGCATCATGTTTACAATGGCTGTTTATTAGTCCAAGAACCATTAGTCCAATGGTTTAAATCCAAGAATGTGTAGTGTCAAAGAGAATCAGGAAAACAGTAAGGAGAATGTGTGAGCCATTCCAGACCATTCCAGACTCCCTGAATGAACATGTGTACTTGAGTCCTTGGGTATTAGGGTCTAGCTAGGGAACATGTGGATTTTCATGTAAACACAAAAATTACTAAGTGCTAAGAAGATACACTTGTTCAGCCTTATGTGAGTTCTTAAAACTCCTTAGCAAGTTCAGCAGCCATTTAGAGTGGGTGACAATAAGGGGATCAAGGAGGGGGTGGCGAACATTTTATTGTGTGTGTTGCTTAGAATCAAAAGCACGTGGTGATAATCGATTGTGGACTGACTTTGAGTTGGTTTATTATCACGTTTCAATTATCAAGAGACCATCCATCCCACGATTGCCTGAGTCAGGGTTGAATGCCCACACTCCCATCCTTGGTGAATTTATACATATTAACAGTAGCTCAGTGGTGAAAGGCAAATTAATGATGGAGAGAGAGAGAGAGAGAGAGAGAGAGAGAGAGAGAGAGAGAGAGAGAGAGTCCAGCGCTGTGTCTCTGAGCAGAGAAGAAGGGAAGGAAGTGAAGGGCACTAGCGGAGGAGATAGATGGAGGAGTACCTGGTCCAGAGGAGCACCTGCAGACTGCATGCACAAGGTGCTCCTCCACCCCCTTCCCAGCAGTGGATCTGGATCCATAGCCAGGGTGTGAGTTTGTCAAGCAGCCCTGCTGACTGACTGGCTCCAGTTTTGTTTTCTTGGAAATGTTGATCATCATTTCCAGTGAGTTCTTTCATGGATGCGGAGTCACAAGGGGGATCTTCACAGTCAGAAGACATAACTACCAGGATACAGCTGTGGCTTCCTGGGTTACTTCCCATCCAACTCTCAGCCTACGGAGTCAGGATGTCCCTAACCGTAAAGGAGGTGGATGCACACAGCAGCGGCTTCTGTCCCCCCAATCCCACTGTCTCTGCCTGGCTACCTACTCTTGCAAATTAGCTCCCCCAATCACCTTCTCCATGCAAGACAGCTCCACTCTAGAGTTGCTCAGGCCAGAAACATAGGCATCATCTTCCTTTTCCTTCTATCCCTCAGAGTCCACATCCGATCCATCAATAAATGTGGTTCTTTCTATAGCTCAAATGTGCTCTGAATCTAAGCATCCTCCCTCCCCCATCGCCTCCTGATCACCATCGCCTCAGTCCCGCAGCTATGAGCCGAATGTCTGTGTCCTCCTGGGATTCACGTCCTGAAATCCATCCTGCAAGCTGAAGAGATGAAAAGGCAGGCAGGGATGTCCAAAGGTGGTTAGACATGTGCACTATCTGTTATAGGCACTTTCCTCACCAACAGTACCTCCTTACTATGTAATTACATAGAGGAAGGAGAAAAAAAAAATCCCCTTCAAGTGTCTTTAAAGGAACACTAATCCGGTTCCTAAAGATGGAGCCCCAGCAGACTAAACAAGGAACAATGAGAAATAAATCTCTATTCTTTATCAATTACACAGGAAAAAATAAAGAAATCTTGGGTTATTTCAGTAACCTCGTAACTGCTCTTGCTACATGTATGGTCCCGGCATCAATCATCCGGCCTCTTCACAGAGTGTCTTAACATAGAGTTCGTTACCTCTGCACATCAGACAACGCCTGAAGTTCTGACGACTCCCCAGAAAGCCCTAGCTCACCTCCATCCCAGCCCACTCACGACCTCTCAGATCTGCTCCGCATTCCTCCAGCTCACCGGGCTGTCCCAGCCACCCTGGGAGCTGCACCAGTTGTGAGAAGCGCTCCGTTCCGGCGTCCGCGCTCCTGCAGCGCCCTCTGCTGGGCTCTCTCTATCCTGCAGGATCTGGGTGGCTCCATTTCTCTCGTCTCTTCTAAGATGTCATGGCAACCTCCTTAGGCCACTCTCTGTCGCCTGGGCCTGCTTCATTTTTCTGCATAGCAATCATCACGAGTTGCTATCCGCTGGTTGCCTGAGTCCTCCCGTGATATATGCCCTTTATATCTTGGCAGAAGTTCACTGTCGTTGCCTGTCCCCAGTAGCTAAGAAAATGCAGGCACAAGATGGTAAATCCGACAAGCCTTTGAATGACCATCAAGACTTCTAATTGCAATAACGGCGTTTTGAGGTCCCTCGAGTTGACACGGCAGCCTTTCTCGGCCTCACGGTGTGGAGAACACCTTTAGGGATGGCTCGGCTACATTTACAGGCTTACTCATGATGTGAAGAATTTTAGAAAGAAAAACGTTTCAGATACGCTTTATCAAGGAATGATTATATCCACCCAGGAAGGTCTCTGGGTGTGGGAGAAAGCTTACTAAGGACTAAGAGAAAAAAGGCTCGCCCCTGAGTCAAGGCAGCCCTGAGTATTTGGCGAGCATGCATTTGCTTGCTCCGGCCCTGAGACGCATGAAAAAGGATTGATGGACTATTTCACGCGTGTTTTTAAGTAGGAAGATTTAGCATATAACTGATTGTAAAGCATTTGTTTGAAAATGAAGAAAAAGGACATTATTTTTCTGTCCCTTTAGTAGTTAGAAATGTTTGGAGATAAGTGTAGCATTTAAATCTTTGGGATGTGTAAATTGTATTCAACAGCATTTTTAGACACGGCATTAGGAATACTTTAAAGAGACTGTCTACTGCATTAATTTTAATTATGCTCTACCGGACTCACAATGCTTTGAAATGCTTATAAAGTGCCCTCAAGATCTTTTATTAATCAAAATACAAGCACCAAGCTCAGACGCAGCTCCCGACTCTGAGTGGCAACGGCTTGCCTGAGAGCGCCACCTGCTGTTTCCAGTGTGTACTGTAAATAGCATTTTTTGGACTTCTTAGTGGTTGTGGCCAGAACAAAGACAGTTTCTTAGGGACCGGTCAACACACAATCGCGTTACTTTAAAAGCGGCATTTCCTCCTGGGGTCTGGAAGACCACGCCAGTGCCGATACCTGGAGGGTAAGTGGCGAACCTCACAGGGGAATGGCGACTTTCATTTCCTTCACTTCAGTTTTAATCCTTCAAAACACGGACAGCAGTGATTTTAAAGGCACCCTATTACTAACAGGTTTTATTTTGGAACTCAGCTATTTGCTCCATAACCAGCAACCATCCTTTTTTTTTTTTTTTAACTAATTATGGGCTGTGGGTGATATAATTTGAGGCAGAGTGCTTACCAACTTGTGTCAGATCCTGTGTTTCACCCCAATATTCCAAAAATTATAGGTGAATTCATATTTCAACACCAGCCATAGCAGGGACTTACTAATTTACTTATAACAAGAAAAACATCCTTGTTTCATAAAACCCAGGGAAATATGCAGGTAGTCAGGTTAAATTCATGACATGCTCGCCCAGGATGACCCACACTGGTAAATGCCAACACCTCACCAAATGAACATGGCCCCACACCAGCTCCCCGGGTTAAGGTTAGTCCCAAGGGGGACTTGGGATGGAATAGCTACTCCCAGGGAAAGGGGAAGGTGCAGAACACATGACATAAATATGTAGCTGGAGTTTTCTCCAGTCCTGCCTGGCCCACAGTCAGGACAAATCTCTCTCACCTGCCAGTCCTGCAGCCGCTTAGACCCAACCGAGTAAACACACAGAGACTTATATTGCTTACAAACTGTATGGCCATGGCAGGCTTCTTGTGATCTAGTTCTTATATCTTAAATTAACCCACTTCTGTAAATCTATACCTTGCCACGTGGCTCGTGACTTACCAGTATCTTAACATGTTGCTTCCCATCACGGCGGCTGGCAGCATCTCTGACTCAGCCTTCCACCTCCCAGCATTCTCCTCTCTGCTTGTCCCACCTATACTTCCTGCCTGGCTACTGGCCAATCAGCATTTTATTTATACAGAGCGATATCCACAGCATAGATATGACTGTCCGTCTACACAAACGGGGCAGGACAGACTAGGTGAAGATAAGCTGGGGAGAACTGATTGATGGGGGTCAGAGGAACTGTTTGATGGAGAACAGACATAGATAGTTCATGATGCCCAGCCCTTTGGTTGCTTCAGAACAATTTGAGCAAAGCCTTCTGACTGCAAGGGGTGTCCAAAATAATGCCAGTCCCTACGAAGGGCTGGCGCAGGGTTTGGGGGGAGGTTTGGGGGGGCTTTGTTATTTGGTTTTTGTTGTTGTTCTTGTTTTGTTTTTGCTTGCTCACTTACTTATTTATAGGGGAGTGTGCCACACTGCACATATGGTGGTCCCAGGGCAGCTCAGGAGAGTAGGTTCTTTCCCCATGTGGGTCTTGTGGATAAAACTGGATAATCTGCCAGGCATGGTGGTGCACGTCTTTAATCCCAGCACTCGGGAGGCAGAGGCAAGCGGATCTCTGTGAGTTTGAAGCCAGCCTGGTCTACAGAGTTCCAGGACAGCTAGAGCCAGTGAGACTTCTCTCAACCTCCCCACCTGAGCGAGCGCGCGCGCGTGTGCGCGCACACACACACACACACACACACACACACACACACACACACACACCCTCCGGTAATCAGGCTTGGCAGCAAGCACCTTTCTCCACTGAGCCATCTCGCTGTCCCTCATTTGCTGTTTTTGATACCAGCCTTAACAAGTAAATAGAAACTGAATTCAACAAATACAACCTGCTTTCTGATAAGACGGGGGATGGAGAGCCTTTCCCCTCCTGTTGGCTTTAAATCAGCACTGAGTTATTGCCCCCCTGTCTGTCATGGCCTCCCCAGACCCCACTCAGCTCTCCACCTTATCCCAAGTAACCTCTGTAGCAGTTTGTAACAATGGTTTTCTGAACTTTAAAAA